ACTAAAGGTAATGGAGTAAAGTGAACTAAGCGGAAAGTAATAAGAAAGGCATAATATATGACATGAAAATATGGATGGTTACGTCCCTGCTGACCTTATAGTAAGTAGGCCAGTGTAAACAAAGAGGATGAATGTGCTTCTTTTGCACGCATAGGTCAGGTTTTATCTTATTAATCTCTATAGCTTCCACTATAGCTAAGAGATGCGATCGTGTGCCTTTAGGCAGATTGTTTGGTACTCGATATACAACCGTAGAGCCAGAGGAAGAATTTATCGAAAACAATTGTTCGCTCCAAATCATCTTGTTATGATCTAATAATTTGAAACAATATAATAAATTAAATAATCATAGATACTGGTATCTACCTACTATAGACTAGTAAACCTGAGATGTTGCATAAAACTACATACTACTGATTGACTGGGGCGAGTAGCTGTATACCACTCACATCAACCAGTAGTGCTTCCTGGCCAGATCGAAGTGATCTAAACAAGAGATGTCCATTTCGTTCGTTTGAGGTCGAGTTCCTTGACTGGGGCTACAATTTTGTTTTGAGAAATAACTGCTACAAAGAGCAAAGCACAGGTCAGCTTCAATATATTCTCATCAGCATTCAGAAGTAGACTGACAATCAATAACTAATAAATATGTGTGAATAAGTCAATTTTTAACCTAGCGAATTGATACTTTTCACCTAACCGCGGTACTGACTGGGTGAACTACACTTTGATTACTGGAGGTCTACCAGATGCCGCATGTCTTCAAGTACCCACTGTTAACTGCTACCGTCAGGAATGGAACTTATGACCAGAAATTCCAGTCACTTAACATGAACAAAAGGATATTAATCTGTTCTCCTCGAACCACGAAAATTAAACTCATAGAATTACTTGTTTGCCCAAGTATATAGCCAGGAATCAGGTGGCTTGGACTGATTCAGGTCTTTCTGAGGTAAGTGAAATCAGGTTCCCCATTGATGAACTTGACTACAAACGAGAGAAATAGCCGTCCGTTGTTTAGATCACTTTAATCTGACTAGGAAGCAATACTAGTTGATACGATTGGTATACAACTACTGATTCGAGTTCACTAGTAGTAAACCATTTTATGCGACTATGCTTACCTCATTGATTACCATTTTATGGTGTCAAGGAGACCGTATATTGTGATCTAAATAATTTTGATTTCCAAAGGAAGCTGTGTTGAAATCTCACCATGAAGTATGTAAATTGCAAGTTAATTTTCAAATTGTCAAAAGGTGCGATATGTGCATATGTATCTTCAAGTGAGAAACGTCTGGTAAAATCTTTTGATAATTACAGTGGTTGGAACAAATTAAATTTAAGGCATCCCCAAAAGGATAATCATTTTTCAAAATGGTTGATTAAAACAACATGAATCAATATTCACACCAATATGATGTCGTTAGTTACAAAATGAGGATGTAGTTAGGAAAGATAATGAAAACTTCGCAATTAGGTCATCTAGCTTACAGAAAACAAAGTCAAAAGAAAAATAATAATTCGCCTAATTTGAGGAATGAATCTGTCCAGTTGCGCCTCTCAGACTGTAACGAGGGGAGTGATTATTTGATGTTTGAAATACATTGACCCTGTTAGCAAAATTTACATACCCACAGTATGGCTTCAAATTACCGTTGGTTTTCAGCAGTATGAATCTTCACATAGCCAATTCGTTCATAACTTGATAAAACTTTACGTTGAAAGAGAAGTGATAATGATATCCTATTGTTTATACTTATTCTGAGCACAATATGAAAAGATCCCCAAATATATCGTTACTGATGATGATTTAAAATCATATGAACTCATATCATCTAATTAGCAATGGTATTTTTTTCGATATTTTATTCCGCTGTATTCCGAGTGGAATATAGGGCTTGAGTCTTGAAGTTTCAGTAGCAGTGGTGTTTATGTTTTACGGGGTGGAGTTGCTAACCTCAGGTACACCCTTCGCCTTTATCAGGTTTACTATCGGTTAAGCGAAGTTTAGGAATTCGTCAGCCGGGTCAGGGATTGAACCCCGCAACGCAGTTAACCACGTCAAAAAAATGCGTGTTAATTTCACTTAAATATACTTTCTTCACTATGGTTCGTAATCAAATGTGTTGGAAACTCGTTCTTTATCAGATAAGACGGCCTATTTAATTTGGTTTGTTAAACACATTGTGAAGATTTTCAATAAAAATTCAAGGTAAGTGGTTAGACAGTTATGCATACAAGATGAAGTCCATGGATTCGCTGAATGAAGGGGATTACGTCTTCCAAGTATCATCAATCGAATTAAATAAAGTGATAAATCAAAATTATTTATCAAGTTACTTTTGTTTATAACTTTTCCTATTTGCACTTGGTCTGAACACTTTAGATACCTAATGTAATGCGAAATCTGTTTTAATCCAACAACACGTGGTGAGAGCAGACTGCTAGCCAAATTGGTAGACAACTATTTACGTCAATGTTTATGTCTTCAATATTGGTCGTGAGAAAATATGAACAAAGACTGATTCAACAACCAATCACAGCAGACTTTGCGTAGGCAGATACAGTTAACATATAGATGACCTGACATTCAAGAAAACAGTTACAAAGAGATGCAAGGTTAACTTTCTGTGAGAAACAACCAATCAGAAGACCGCGTTTGTTTGCTTGAATAAGCTATAATAATGTACATAAAAATATATAAATACATGTTGATTTCCTTAATAAACGATCTGTTGCCTGGCCCTTGTCTTCTGTGGTTACAACCATAGTTCTGTATAAAAGGCATCGAATTTTTGTGAGAAGTCTCCTGATAAACATTTCCACAATATGTGTCGTTTTATTTTTGAAAGGTTACGTAAATCAGTAGGAATTGTAAGATATCAAAGACATTCAAGAAAAATACCCATCCACACATGGAAATAAGAATAAAAAATTCTGCGAGGAATCTCTTTTTATATCAAAGGTACACAGCTCTAAAACAACTGAAAACTGACCTCCTTTCTATCAGTCAATTAATGTAGAATAGCTTTTTATTCTAGCCATGTCGAATCTACATTTTTAAAAACTGTTACGACTCAGTGTTACTGGGTCTTTAATGAGCCTCCAGAATACGATACTAAAATCAACTGATCACTTGAAGTTATCTTCCACACTGAGATAGACCCGAAAGTCAGACTGGGAGAAACGACGACCGGAACGACAGCAACGTTTGTTCGACAAAATACATGGTATATTATATTTTAAAAAGCTCAAAAATTTAAACCATGAATAAGACAAATCTGATTGGTTGTCTAACTTCAAAGAATTAAGCCACAAGTAAACGAATCAAAACTGTTCAATAAGGTTATCATTTTAGTACACGCATAAATCCATAGTCTCACCATTAACTGAGATGCTTGACTATTGTAACGCAAACAGTGCTGCTTTTCGTGACCTGTAAAAAGCGTAGTAATATGATTTATTAAATTATTCCATTGTGTTTTGTGATTAGCTAATTTTTCGGTGGAAAATGACAATTGTCCTCTTATTGAACAGAGCATCCGGTGAAAATTCGACGAATTCAAACGATTAATCAAATGAATCAGCCTAAATTTATTAGTGTGCATAGTCGGTTTCATGAGGAAGTTTCTGGCATATAGTAAAACAGCATGATAATTAAGCTCCCTTGATACATCATAAATGAGCATTCCATTTGTCAATGTCTCCTGGATGATGATTTTTGAAAATAAAAGCAATTAAAACTTTACTAAAATGTAGAATAAAACCCAATGACGAAAAAAACTATTACTATTACTTCGTATGCTTAATTCATTTCACTGTAGACTTTATCACAAACCAACACTCGTTACGGACTTGTTACAAACCCAAAGCCTTGACGTTGTAAGGTTTTGGTGAGAGCTGTCTGCTAGCCAAGATTGTTAGACAGCAATTTACGTCACAAATCTTGGTCATAAAAAAAAACAAGAACAAAGACTAACTCGACAACTAATCACAACAGATTTTGCGTGGGCGGGTATGATTAGCAGATATATGGTTTGACCTTCACAGACACGGCCACAAAGAGATGACAGATTAACTTCCAGTAAGACAACGACCAATCAAAAGATGCTGCTTCTTTGTTAATAATAACGATTATTAATGTTACAGGATTTTCATGAAGAGCTGACATTAGTTAGAGAAACATTGGAAAACCTGCAGGGAGTATGGACAGCTGTTTCGTCCTAGTTTGGAACTCTTCATCAGTACGCATCCACCGGGACTCGAACCCAGGACCTTCTGGTTACAAGACGAGCTCGTATACCATTAAGCCACTAGGACTCGATCCAATGGCCAGCCCATGAATTCTAACTTCTACCAATTCACGACATAGGGCGACCCCAGCCAATGTCTTCGGTGAGTATTTGTCCTCACACCCGACCTGCTGCGACTTGCCCTATTCAGGTAGGTAGTTACCTGGGGTTCTAGTGATAAGCCGTGACTAATAGGGTGCAGAAGGTCGGGTGTGAGGACAAATAACCGCCGAAGACATTGGCTGGGGTCGTGCTATGTTGTGAATTGGCAGAAGTTAGAATTCATGGGCTGGCCATTGGATCGGGTCCCAGTGGCTTAATGGTATACGAGCTCGCCGTGTAACCAGAAGGTCCTGGGTTCGAATCCCGGTGGATGCGTACTGATGAAGAGTCCAAAACTAGGACGAAACAGCTGTCCAGTACTCCCTGCAGGTTTTCCAATGTTTCTCTAACTAACGTCAGCTCATGATGAAAATCCTGTAAACAATCAAGACCCTGGATACCAACACTTGAAGATTAATATATAAATATTCGGATCTACCAAATTCTTCCGGATTTTTTATGGTTCTCAGACGACTATCGGTTTGTTACTTGCATAGGAAGATACTAATTGTTGAGAGATTAATCTTTCGTAATAATTTTCGGGCAACGCCTGAAAAGCATCACTACGGAACACACTTTAAAAAAAATGCAAAAGATAGGCATAATTGTATACAACTATATTTTTCATAACTTGTTTTGAACAGATAAACCTGCTACAAGTTAAATAATATCATTAACAACAGTACAAAAAGAAGGAAAATAAATATTGCAAAAAGAAAGTAGAGAAAGAAGATATGAAGTATATATATATATATATATATATATATATACCCATGAACATGATCTGCTTTCATTGTAATCGTACCAGAATAAGATCACCACTTTCCAGACTATAAAATCCTATTTCACGTGTATCTCCATCCAATGGTATTACTGCAGTATTATCAGGACCCCTTTTACTTTGTGCATATAATTCAAACGATGTTTTCGGTGATAGATGGAATAGTCGTCTAGTCATCATACGTAAGTGATTGATAGTCATTCGACTAGGAATTTGTTTATGAGTGGTATTGTTTTCACTCACCGGCAATTGACTACTTGATTCGTTTAATTTTTGGCTGTCGCCTTGTTGTATGACAAAAGTAACAGATATAAGACCTTCCTTAATTGAACGGGTGACTAGCTGAAAAGGAAAAATCAAAAGAAGTGAGAGGATAACATTATAGTGTGAACATGATAAGTTACAAGTAGAGATAAATAGAAATAATGACACATACAAAAGCTTAAATTTTTTTGTTGATACTCATTGTAATTTATCTTCTAGGTACTTTCCTTGCAAAGAAGCGAGCTCCAAATACGCTTTATAAGAATCTATTCATGCAGCACATGAGTAATTAAATCTGTAAGATGATGCTGCATGGCTGGTCTACACCGACTCCTAGTTTACATACAGGGAGTGAACCTGTTCAGCGTATTGACCACTTCGGTTATTTAGGAAGTTTCACTAACCCTAATAGACTGATAGCTGACGAAATCTTTATGGCTGTTGATAGTAGAAGACCTGAAGACAGTAGCTGTCTCTGGTCATGAGTGCCAACGTTCTACCTCTTATGTTAAGTATCATAAGGTTATAGTGCTAGCCAGGAAAGGTAAATTAATCGATGAGATTGTGAAGCTGCACCGACTAGGATGGTTAGAATACATGTTAGGCATAACAAGCCATTGCTTTCCGAGTCGACTAATATCACCTGACATAAGATTATGTTGAGAAAGAGTTAGAGTTACCAGTCCATGAAATCTTTAACTGTTGGTTCAAACCAGCCACGTAGGGAAGTGCAAATTGCCTGACTGGCTGGAATCCTCAAGATGCTAAAAGCTAATGAACTACACTGTTGGTGATATGATTCAAATATCATTTTCAATGGCATGGATGCATACATTCTTTGTTAATTTCCAGATCCTTTAAATCCTGACTATTTTCCATTTAATAACTCTTTCTCTCTTATATTTCCGTTTATTAAACGTTCTTTGCAAAAAATTTGGCAGCTTAAACTGGTGAACTTTTGTGCGTAGTTCTAAGTTGAAAAATCATTTCAGTTCAAGATTCTATACAATCGCCTGCTTATACACAGAGATTTCAAAATATCACTTATTGAGTATTTAAGCGACAAACTAAGGCCCATGCGAAGTCTGTTTGAATGCGATCTACTGGTTTTTGATAAAAACTGAATTGCCTTCCTGGATATCCTACTTACAAGAAAACCAGGTGGTAGCATAAAAAGAAATTTGCATAGAAAGAGCACTTGGACAGGAAAATATACACATTTTGACAGCTTCGTTGCTATCAAGTACAAAAGAAATTTAGTGAAGACCCTCAGCCACAGAGTTAGTTAGAGCTATATGCTCAGAAGAAGTAATTGAAGATAAATTAAGCATTGTATACAATACTTTGATCGAAAATGGCTATCCCGAAAAATTTATCAAGAAACACATTACAAAGAAAGCTGAAAAGGACTACTCACTATCTGTAAACAAGAAGCCACTTTATATACGACTACAATTCAAGGGCGATATACCAAGTCAGATAATAACGAAGAAATTAAGAAAATCAGTTCAAAGAACTTTTAATGCTGGCGAACTACACGTATTATTCTTTACGCGACCGATGGTTCTACCTCGACTGAAAGATGAAGTACCTACACTAGCCACTTCAAATTGTATCTACCAATTTAACTGTCCTTGTGGAGTGAGTTATATTGGCCGTTGCTCTAGGAACTTGATTTTTCGTGATCAAGAGCATCTCCTACTATGGCTAAATAAAGGTGTAGTTAAATCAACTAACAGTTCTACGAGAACAACATTGATTTGTGCAGAATAACATGGTACCATCATTTATTTCGTTGGCTTCTCGTCAGCTGCTTACAGCCTAAATAAATTTTCAGGTTTAAGTACAGAAACGTTTTAACATACATTGGGAGAACAGAAAGAAGGGCACACCTCCGATTTTCTGAACATGTGCCGAAAAGCCTACGTCTCAAGGGAACAAACTCTTATAGCAGCGCTATTACAGACATCTCCTCGACACGGGTCATGAGGTGGAAATCGAGAAATCCTTCAAAAATTATCAATAGACAAAGGAGCTTCATTCTCCTCAAGTTTGCCGAAGCAATTTCTATCAAACGCTTGAAACCATATTTATGTGTTCAGAAAGAATCAGTTATTAGTCTTTCCTTGCCTTGGTAACTGGATGTTTTTCTCTCATCTGATTGCGTAATCTTTGTCTTTAATCTCACCCTCTTTTATATTCTGTAATTTTGCTTGTCTCTTGTTTCTATGATTTGAGTTCAACTCAGTACATTGTTACCTAACTTATTAGTCACCATGCATCTTAGGCACATTTCACCTTTACTAGGTAACTCCCCTACCATTATATGCACACATTTATTTTTTTTTAACTTGAACTGCCGGTGTAAAAACTATATAAGCGCAATTTTCTGAGCACTGTTTACTAATTGTGAAACTTTCTGTCAGCTGACAACATGTAAAATTTGCAAGTATGTTAAAACGTTTCTATACTTAAACCTGAAAATTTATTTAGGCTGTAAGCAGCTGACGAGAAGCCAACGAAATAAATGATGGTACCATGTTATTCTGCACAAATCAATGTTGTTCTCGCTTTATTCAAACTAACAGTTCTACATTGGACCATCTAGTGCAAACGGGCCACAAAGCCAGCCAGAGTGGAAGAATCCTTCTCTATATCATCTACCGGATGCCTAATAAATTGCCAAAATCATCGAAGCACCACGTGCTCCGAACAGCAAGGCTACTGCAATTCGCCTCAAACAACCAGTGCTCTGTGTTCAAAAGAAGCAAGTCCAGCCAGTTACTACTGCTCTGGCCAGCCTTCAGTAGAAACTATAAATTCATGAATTTTTAATATTATCTTTCCTAATTTTTCTGACATTCAGCTTATTTTATGCTGATGCTATTGAGCTGTAATCTATCCATATTATTATTGATTTGATGTTATTTAAACAAAGTTAATGTTGTTCGTCAGACTAATTCATTCATTCATCCACTATGTGTATATATAACTGTAGAGCCTGATGATGAAATTATCGAAAAGAGTACTCTTCACTAACCATTCTTTTGAAAAATCTTAATGGGCATTTTTAATCAGTTAAAACTGAAAATGCTGTTCCATTACCACTTCAGAAAATAAACAACCACATGAAGTGAAAGTTATAAAGATTGCGATTTTAAAATTGATAAGAAAGTTCGAGGTGATACTTTCTGTTCAATAAAATATCACATAAGAGGTAATCATGAAATTTAAAAAAAAATTAAATATCTTAAGGAGACTTAGAATACAGTCTCTACACTCATCAATTAGGTTATCATGAAATCTAAAATCCAATTAAAGGAATTCAATCTGATAGATATTACGATTATACAAGGTCTGGCAAAACTGCCCAACTGTCATTGTCATATCACACAATCGTATATCAAGTATAACATAATATGATGCAAGACAAGTATATGAAGTGATACAATACAATAAAGAAACACAAAAGGTTAACTGGGTGCTAATATACAGTTAAAAGAATAAAGTAGGAATGTGTCGGAATTACGGAGGAAGGGTTTTCAGTTACATCAAATAAAATTTATGACGGCTAGTATTGGATGTCTCAGGATATTCGACAAGAAAACCCACACTCTTCTACATTAACCAGGAAGAACAACATTTATGGACTTTAACAATTACTCCTATGTATTCGTCTAGTCCTTCTTTTCATATTAGTCGCCGTATTAATCCAACCACTCATTACTCGTATCTTTACGATTCGTTTTTATTTTTCATTTTACAAAATTGAGAACTTTATCAAGTGTTATCTGTCGGATCAAAAGAAGTAAAAAAAATCAGTAGCGTTTGTGGCAGTACTTTTGTCGATGCATTTTCCTTTTTACCCTTAGTTCGAGCACTTAAGGTATGTACTGTGTTGTAAATAACTGGTTTCAACACAGAACTTTGCACCGATGTGAAGCAGTTCAACACGCCACACTTCATGTAGCACACAAAGCAAGAGAAGAAAGTAAAAAGGAATGCGAAATAGAGACAGTGAACAGAAATATAAGGCAAAAAGAAAAGTAAAATCGAAGAACAATAGTTTCATTGGGTATTATGAGTCACAAGGAGTGTATGCATCTGCACCAGCCATTGATAACGATTTTGAGCCATATCACTAACTGTCACCAGTCTTCATTGGTTTTTACCGTCCTGAGGACTCCAACCAGAAAGTCCGCACCTTCCTACGTCGCTGGCTTAAACTAACTGTTGTGGATTTCATTGACTGATATGGCCATGTTTTCGTTTGACCGCAACTGGCTGCCTTCCAACCTGATCCTATGTCAGGTAACATTGCTTGTCGGCAGAGGGAGGCGATGGTTAGGCTAGACATGCGTGACACATGTCCTAACCATCTCAGTCGATGTAGCTTCACAGCCTCGTCGATTGACTTTCCCTCCTTATCTAGCACTCGACTGATGCCTAACCTCAATATTCCTCACCTTATTATACCACTTCACACGGGAGATAGAACGCAAACACCTATGATCAAAGACAGCTAATCTTTTCATGTCTTCCACTCTCAATGGCAATATCTTGCTCACAGCCATAATGGACGACGGAGTGGACTGCTGAGCAGTACACCAGTCCTTTAGTCGATAGCCGGATATCACGTCAGCACCAGAGACGGCGTAGGCTGGCATATGCGAAACGAGCCTTCTATATCCGTGCTGAGATCTCGTCAGCGGTTAACCCGTTGGGGCTGATGCAACTTCCAAAATAAGTGAAGGGGTCAACGCACTCTACCACTTCACTTCATCACTAGAGTGGTGTGAAATTTATTCTGATCCAACACTATAATTGCACTTATTGTAAAATTAATTACAGATAAAAAACCAACTTCACGGAATAAATATTATAGAGGTCCAGAAGAAAAAAGTAGCTAGTCAACAAAGTTGTGAAAACCAGTAATTAAAGTGGCTAGGAATACATATGATGTGAAAGGACTACTGAAGTAAGATAAAATTGATAAAGCTTAAGACCACCAGATTAAGTTACGATATAAATTTGTGAAATTATCAATCTTTTATCTGAGGTGCGCTGGCTCTGGGAATGAAGTCAATCAGATATAAAAGTCACTAGTTAAAAGACTCAGATGTGATTTAGTCACTGTTGCGACTAATAAAAGCTTACTTTAGTTTCCCCGATTTCAGGAGCTCCATATTTTTCACAAAGTCTAGTGAAAACTGGATGCGATCTATGAAATTCTTCAGATGCAGTTACACGTATACTGCCATCAGCCTGATTCATTTCAGTGATACGCAACCATTCTGCTCCATAACGCTTTAGATAATCTATTTCAGCGCCACGACGCTCTTCAGGGGTTATCTCCTCACGATCCAACATCTTAATATTTGGTAGACGAGCAATTACTTCCTGACGAGCAGTCTCCTTACTACATAAAAATGAATGTAAAGCGAATTAAAGACTTAATGTTATCTAGTAAAACATGTGGCGGTATCAATGTTATCAGCAATAAGCAGTAAATACATAATTTCAAAAACAATATTTTGTAGGTGATAAGTCTCATACATTATCAAATAAGTGACACAGGTTATACAGCAAAGCTGTAGCCTTGATCTGAGCACTCAAACTTCAATCAGTGGGTCAGAGGTTCGAGGCCCACTCCACGCACCGAAGTTTAAACAGTTCTGTGTGGCATAACTGTGGAGTACGTAACAATATGATTGTACACTTTTTGTTAGATGTTGAAATTAGAGACATTGTACATGATTTTTGTTTAAAACGATTCATATATGTCCAAACCAAGTTCACTTTTTACGGTTTGAAAAAATTTGGGCATTGGGTATATGATATTCATTATAATAAAGGGTTTTTGTACTTCTCAATGAATGAAAAACAAAACGATACTGACGTTCCGCTATTTAATGCTAACAGCTTTCTCAAAGTATTATTACTATTACCTTTATTGTAATAAAACAATTCATGTTTAAATACACATAACTTCCGAGTGCAATTCATAGGTGGCACAGCAGTTAGGACTCTCGCCGATCATGCACATGGTCCGGAGTTCGATCCTCTACCGACGCACACCTGATATCTATGGTCGGTCTGCGAAATTTGAACTACCGATATCACATGCTGAAAATTCCATACCTGTACCAAAAATACGGTGTGGAATCAAGCTGTAATAAAGAAAATCCACAACGGATCTTATATGCCGAATGAAGCCGTTTCTAGGTGAGTCTAAATGGTTCAATTTAATGCCAAAAACGAATAACCCCAGTAGAATGTATGGTGTTGTTAAAGTTCATAAGTCAGGATACCCTATTAGGCCTATATTTGATTATAGAAATTCACCTACCTATGAATTATCTAAATATTTAGCCATGGTATTAAATCCCCTAAAAATCCACTCGAAATCTAGACTAACTAATTCTTATGAACCAAAACACAGATTAGATAATTTAAAATTAGATAATGAAGAAAAAATGGTTAGTTTTGACATTGTCAGTTTATATACACGTATACCAATAAATATGGCTATAGCTCGAACTTAGGACAAAAATGCCACTTGAGGGCATAATGCTGGGAGTGCAGCTTTGCCTAACTTCTACAGTATTTAAATTCCAAGGGAATATGTACAAACAAACTGAGGGAGTTGCCATGGGATCACCAATATCCCCGGTTGTAGGAGACATATTCATGGATAGGTGGGAAAACATAGCGATTGAAACGTTCACCCCCACTCCAAAAGTATGGTGGTATGTAGATGACACATTCAATGTACTTAGAACACAGGATATTGATAGATTTTTCGAACATATTAACACAAAGGTGGAGGCAATTCAATTCACTTATGAATTGGAAAGTCAGGAAGGGGAACTTCCAATATTAGACTGCAACGTAAAAAGGAAAGAAGATGGGAAGTTAAACACTAGTGTTTACAGAAAACCCACACATTCAAACAGATATTTGGATTTCCGACCATCCCATCCTATGTTAGTAAAAATAGGATTAGTGAAATGTTTAAATGACAGAGCACAAAAACTAAGTAGTACCAAGGAAAATCTAAGACAGGAAGTGATACACATAAACGAAGCCTTGAAACTTAATAATCACCCGGATAAAAATTAATCAAGAAATATGTAAGTAAATGTAAAAATAAAATAAATAATGATAATAGTGATAACAATAATAATGATAATAATAATGGTAATAATATTAATATTAATGACGATACCAACAATAAGCAATCTAAATCATCAACAGTAATTCCATACAAAGAAGGAACCTCGGAAGCCTTACGCAGAATACTTAACAAGGCAGGAATAAAAGTGGCATTCAAACCCACAAACTCAATTAGAAACAAACTTTGTCGGTTAAAGGATCCTGTGGAGCCATTAAAACAAAACAATTTAGTTTATCTAATACCCTGCCTGCAACCATTGTCAGGTCAAATACATAGGTCAAACTAGTAGAACAGGGGCAGTCAGACTAGCCGAACATAAAACCTAGCTAAATCTAGATTGGTTGACCCAAATAAGATAAGAAATCTAGAAAATAGTTCAGCTATAGAAGTTACACACAACCATACAATAGGATGGGATAGGATGACAGTTTTAAAATCTAATGTCACAGGGTATAGGGAGAGATTGATAACAGAAGCTTTGTTTATCGAATTAACTGCAAATACATGTAATAGAAACGATTCAACACCTGTCCCAGATATATGGAAAATTCTACTGCCCATACGACAAATAGGAGAAAACGAAGAAAACTATAAAACTCAAATCTCAAAGTCGTGTGACCGCAATCGATATGATTATGAACAATAAATTCTGTTCGAAACGTCATGCAGTATACAATACTGTTTCACCGTGTGATACATCTAATGAACAAACTAACATGGAATTACTTACTACCACAGTGCCCAAGTTTTACACATATAATTCAACGCTTCTGTGGATTATATAATTAATTTGTAGCAGTGGACTTTAACAGTGTATCCAAGTAACCTTTTTATTAATATAATTCATTACTGCATTTTTGATAATATATTGTTGCACTATCATCTCAGTAACTTGATTTTCACTCACATATTTGTTGTGTTAATGAGCTTTCTCTAGACAGTCCCCTACATAACCAGCCCTCACTCAATAGGCGTGACTCACTACCAGTTTTATGGGATCGCAGGTGGTTGTTGAGTAGCATTGGTTGATTGATTGATCGGTTCACTGATTAGATAAATTAGGAAGAAGTTTAGATTTGCAGGTGTTAACATAAAGGTTAGATATGCTTTTGAAAGTTGTCATACATTAAACCAGCAGTGGTAAGAAACACTAATTCCGAAAATGAGAATGTGAAACAGAATATAAAGAATAAATAACCAGAAATAGAATCGAATTAGAAAAAAACGAAAATGAGTAAAGACTACGACCAAATGTAAACTAATAAAGGCGTTCAGAAATTTGTAGACTGTATAGAGTGAATAAAGGAGTTAGACAAGGCTGTCTACTATCACCGATAATATTCCAAATTGTGCTGGACTGGATTATGCGTCAGACTGTGGGGAGTGAGAAGCGAGGAATACGTTGGACGATAAGGTCACTCTAGAAGGTTTGGATTTCATGAATGATGTCTAACGCCACACAAACTCGAAGACTTAAATGCGAAACCAGCAAGTTGGTAGGAGAATCAGCAAAGACAGGACTTCAAGTGAACACAGAGAACACAGAGGTGGTGGAGTTAACCATCCAACAACAACAGTCACTATCAACGGGGAAAATATGAAAGAGGTCACTTTCACTTTTCTAAGCAGCATCGTTCCAAATACAGGAGGAACGGATGACGATACCAAAACCCGAATCAGAAAGGTAAGATAGGCCTTCACCATTCGGAAATCAGTTCGAAAATCTCCACTCGGCAAAAAGAACGAAATTCGAATTATCAACACCCATGTTAAGCCGGTTCTCCTTTATGGTTTAGAAATCAGGCGCGTTACGAGAAGCATTTTCAACATTTTGCTGCAGACTTTCAACAACAGCTGAAATTGCTCCACACTGAAGATGGTCAGAAAGAATTAGCAACAAGAAACTCTAAGAACGAAATAACCAAGAACCTAATACTCAGTAAGTATGCCAAAGAAAGCGGAGGAGGATTAAACACACACTGAGGAGACCGTCGAATGACATCAGGCATCAAGTGATCATTTCAGTGGAACCCGAATAGAAAACAATGAGTGGAGCGTCCCACTGTGATATGGCAGGGATTGTGAGAGGAGGAAAAGAGTTTTTGCAGTATCGTGGAACCAGCTTAAGAGGACTGTGGAGAACACGACGAAATGCTGTCGAAGCCCTTTGTTCTATTTGAAACTCAAGGGAATAATAATAAAGCGCGAATACATTTCTGTTATCGTAGCTCATTTCGAGCCATATTAACCAGGCTGTTTAGGTATTGATTCCTAACATGACACCTTGAAACAAGTAACATATGCTTCCGTACACTCAATACGCAAAACAGTCATACAGTTAATGTATTTGCATCACGTTTTGGTCTAGTTACTCTTAACTTTTTTTATCAAAAAAAGTTCAGCTCCAGTTGAAATTACACACACACACAGTGACAGTTCCGGTCACTTCAGTACACCAAGATTTAAGGCCTTGTTCTTTTTCATCTAGCAATTCGCTTCTAAGATTGACAAAGTTTCTCCTGTGCTTTTATCATATATGAAACATTTTACGGCGAGACAAGTTTCAGAAAATGAACCTAAGCTTTTAATACTTAAAATGCTGATACATTTGACAATTGCACATATAAAATAATGAACTGGTTAATAAATTATAAATCTTTTATTATTGGGGTGAATTAAAATCACTTTAATATCTTGTACTTAGTGAACAATAAACAGACATGTGGCCTGGAAGATAATAATTAAAATATCTCACTTACGGGGAACAATCTTCGAAAACTGGGCAATCCGATACCATCAAGTGTCTCAATTTAGATAAATGCAGTAATCGGTTTGCAAATTTCCAATCTTTGAACAAGTTGCTTTTTAAACCCAGCATTTTGAGGTTTTGAAACCATGATATTTTACCATTATAATTATTACTGCCAACTTGCTTTTGACAGATATCTTCAGACACATTACATAAATCTGGTAGTTCTGAAATCTCATTACAATTCAACAACAAAGTATTTAAATCTGTAGACGGTCCGATCAGAGTAAATAATTGATAAGCAGACGTCAGACTTATGTGAGTTAAGTCCAGTTCACTCAATCTTCGGAAAGCTTTAATGGCACTTTCCTCCCAATCACACGAAGGGTTGCCTAACTAAATGAAAAAAGACAATGATGACTTCAAAATAACTAGTCATTATTTTACAGGATTTCGTCATGAGCTGACATTGGTCAGAGAACCAGTGGAAAACCTGGGAGTACTGGACAGCTGTTTCGCCCTAGTTTGGGACGAATTCATGGGCCATTGGATCGGGTCCCAGTGGCTCAATAGTATACGAGCTCTGCTTGTAACCAGAAGGTCCTGGGTTCGAATCCCGGTGGGTGCGTACTTCTGAAGAGTCCCAAACTAGGACAAAACAGCTGTCCAGTACTCCCAGCTGGTTTTCCAATGGTTCTCTAACCAATGTCAGCTCATGGTGAAATCCTGTAAAGCGATCAAATCCCTACAACCCAACACTTGAATAGTCGTTATTTTGTCTAAGATTACACATGTTGGAATTCATATCACTTTACAAATATTAGACTACAAGGCGTTGATTACATCTCATGTCTATCCTAATTCTTAAAAACTTAGTCAAATGATCAAACGGGGCAGCATCACTTTTTTAGGAAAACGGCCGATTCTCATTTATATTCATCAAAGTGACTTGTCTACTTCATAGTTGGCAGTAACGAAGATACTCAGAAAAAGAGAATGGAAAGAAATAATGATTTTCACTTAGTTGCAAGTGGGTGACTCCACACTAATAACATATGTTTTTCATACAATACATAAAATACTAGGCCAGTATTGATGTGTTTGCAACTGGAATCCACCAAGATAAGTCGAACCTGTGCATTCAGAACGAATTCGTACGACTGACTTCATACAAATGAGGAAATCTTTTATCATTACCCCAGTTTCTTGGTTAAATATTACCTCTTAGATATGTTGATATGGTTAACAAACTTATAGATTACAAAATAATTTATATGGACTGTGATCATGACGATTGGATCTATCAGTTGGAATAATGCCAGAGACATCCACTGGCAATTAACTTTTGACTGCAGTTAATTAATCACACTCATTATTGTTTGTGCAGCAAAAGGTATACGTGACAGAGATCAAAAAGAATAACAGTGTCACACCTAAACATACCTAATCATTTTCTTCTCAAACGCAGACCTCAATTTCTTATGAAGAAAAGCTGAATATGCAAAAATGTGTAGTTGCTTATTTCTTGTATTCATGCAGTTGCTGGCCTTCAAGTGCACGAACTTTTGAGTGGTCAAATTCCCGAGATTTTTCGTCAATACTCTTCAGTGATAAATCTTAGTAAGACAAAAGTCTATTTTTGTTTATCACTGATGCGATTTTAGCGGTCGCATGATGAGAGAATGACTGTCCTTATGTTCAGAGTTAGAACTAACCAGGAACATACCATTATCTGATTTATCGACATGGGATACCTTAAATGCTCCCAATAAGCTTCGTTTGGCTGAGCTCCCTTATTTAAAATAAATTGCTAGTATGACCATATCCAAGTGTTTCGCTTTTAGCGACAGGCTAGGCAGTTTCTCATAAAACTCCTTTAATTCTTCCCAACTATCCGGTGTATATAATTAGCGGTCCAAGAACATTAAGGAAATGGGAGGGGTTAGCTAGAACCAAGATGGATACAATTATGCTTATTTGTATCTGTTATCGTAATACTGTCGAAAGATATTCCAGAAATATACAGAAATGTGGCGTAAATCGTTACCGCTCTGGCGACCTTGTCTACAAGCAAAGGAAAAGATATCCTATAATGATGAAGGTTGAACTCAACCATCTTAGGAGCTACAAATGTATACAAAATCTTACCATTAGCTTCATACAACCACAAGAACAACTCTTTGGGACGAGGATAATAGAAATCCCTATGGTGAACATACTTCTATATTTAGTAACTTAAGATAACAGAAACAGGTGAATTTTAATAACGATAACAAATGTTTTAAGTTAATTAATCGATAATAAATGGTAGGATATTTTTTCGTTAAATATTTTTATGAAAATAGTAACTAACGTTATTGTATGCAAGTGATAAGATCTGTAAACACGGCATCCAACATATTATTCTTCGAATACTTTCCCAGTCCAAGGGTGAACATCTAACCAAAGTAAGTTGGGACAAATGTGGAAAAGCACTGGAGCACAGTTTTTCACTCAGTAAAGGATGTGAATCCACATCATACAGAAGCCTTGATTCCAAACATCCGCTGGCATCATATTTATTAGAAACTTCATTGAGAGAAACAGGTAAACGAATGCGGTTGCAACTAACATTGAGACATTTCAACCAGGGGATTTGAATGCAAATCTAGCAAAAGGAAAATGAAAGTCAAGAAACAGGCTAGGAGCTTCCCAAAATAAAAAACTTACCTCGGCGATTTCTGTCCACTTAGATAGCAAGCAGTTAATCATTTCTAATTCGGTCAAACTTGTTAAAAACTGACCTAAACAGCCTCCAGTTGATGGCCAAAGAGGTGCATATTCAGGTTGATGATTGGTATCATAAGTTTTCGTTCCGTATAGCGCACGATACACAGGTATTGATGACAAGCTAACACTTTTTAAACGGTTTAATCTGTCTTTGGCAATTGATGCACCGCAAGCATTGTAATGGGAACTCGACTTTTGACTTTGGTTAACCGCAGGAGTAGTGTAAAGTTCAATACGTATTGCACTTTTCACTTGCCCATTATCACCAGAGTACTCAGCGTCTTCTGAACTGAAATTATCATTGATATAGGCATCCAGACGACCCGCTTGGTTGGTTTCATGAAAAAGGCTTTTTTTAACGCTTTCTTCAGGCTTGTGTGAGTAAGAATTGATTTGAGCTCCCAACTGGCAGGATGCACATAAAGCATATCTGTACACAAGCGCTTCCTCTAAACTAGTTCCCAAAGACAATTTTGAAGGTCTAAACAGTAAAACGATACAGACAAAATATGACCTGTTAAGACTCTCAGATAAAATAAATCATCAAAAAACTTTCGATTTTACAAACAACCAGAACGTTTACATTGAAAATAATGAACGTGGTCGACGAAATAGGGTTACCATAATCTTATCGAAATTAATGACTATCGGGTTTAGCTGCGATAGTTTCCCTATAGATTGATGAAAAACTACTTTCAACTGTCAGGTTTCTGAAATTTAATTGATCTCGTGGTTCAAAGGAGTTGTAGCCTGCGGTGAGGATTCTCAGAAGCCGAAAGTTGACAGAAGCAAACATCTGCAACATAGGGAATTTCTGATCACTTATTGTTAGCCATTTGAGGACTCTAACCAAAAAGTCTACACCTTCCTATACAGTTTAGAACATCAATGAATGGCTTAACAAAACGCCTAAATGTTATATAATATGACCACCCCAGACTTTTTCTAAACTAGTCGTCTTCTAGCCAACACTGCTTGTCAAGGAAGACGTTGGTTCGCCTTGATGTCTACCTACCATGAAAGTGGGAAAAAAGTGGAGTGATTTATATTATTTCACAGGTATCATAATTAAACTAGATACACATTTCCCCCGGTAACATTACTCTTATTAATTGGCCATTAGTACAGCTGTGAAATGCCACTAATGGAAGTAAAGCTTTTTAGTTTGAAAATCCTAGAACAAGACTAAATATCTTGCGAGAAGTTTTCTATTTGTTTCTTTTCTGAGTAAAATAAGGAAGTAACCTGAGGTTTTCACAACTTGAGTCAATGGGTTTAACGGAAATGTCTTTACAAAAACCAAAGAAACGGGTTTTTAATATTCGAAAATTTAGAACTTCTGTTTGCAGTTCTTCTGATGTTTCCCCATCTTTACGCATATTCTTATTAAATATGATTTCGCTGTTTGTTTTATTTTGATAAATATTGTTTTCAAGTCTCCGCAGAGTCTCTGCAGCTGTATAACTGCAGTTCCTGCAGGTCCAATAGAACTTTATACACAAACTATCACATGTATAGGCAAGAAATAATCCAACAGTGAATAGAGACTATAATTATGCCTCGGGTTAAAAGTGCTTAAATTGAAATACAGATTTGAAAAAATATTTTCACTCACTTAACAAATGAACCAGATGTTGGACTCTTGGACTGAAAGTAACGAATGCCATTGTAGCTCCCATCGTGCCGACCACGTGACGAATCATCCCAATCGATACCAAGCCAGATGTCTTTTGAATTTGGTAGCTGACCAACATAACATATTGTGCCGAAATATTCTTCATGTACAACTCGTCTACCAATCAGTGACTCATTGGCATCAGTTATTTTACCACATTCCGTCCCCAAATGCACATTTGGAATGGGATTGTGACTTGAGACATCATCTACAAATGTCCTGTTCAACGTATTAAGGCAAGTCAACTATCTTGATCATTACTAACTCACATGGTAACGAACAAGTCGAATAGGTATACAGACAACTAAACGATTGTTCAATTTTCAACGGGCAAAGGTTAAGATAGTCAATAAACTATGCCATATAATCAGGAGAATAGGTGTAACCCTTGAGTCCTTATAAAAGCTTCAACCAATAAATGAAACGAAGTGGCACCTTTCTCTTGATCCTTATGGATAGATAGTTGACCACAGAAAATCTACATTATTTTACCAACAAAATGTTGGCAGTACACGAAATATATAACGAGGTGGCAAAGAAAAATCGATGCGTTCCTGCAGTCAGGGTCCGTAGGGCTCTGTAGAATGCAGCAGACATAGTAATGTGCCAGTTCGAAAGGCGTATATATTTGGCACTTGTTGTCTATGAGCGCGCTTGAATTTCCAGTCATCGAAATGAGAAAAGATAGTACATATTCTGTCAAAAATAGTTGCAGTTACGCTATTTATTTGTCGCGTTACAAAATAACTCCACTATATTTCAAACAAATGGTAGATGCTATGCTCTGTGTGCTAAGCACACTACTTGAGAAGATTTTATTTCGATTAAACTATCCTCCTGCTATTAAATCTGTGACTGTAGCATACAGAAAGTTTAAATTCAATAGTGTACGTGAATCACCCCACAATATATGCGTTTTCAGGAGGCACTGTGTTAAACTGGTGATCTCTGGAAATAATTTTATAATAAGTACAAACTGCGACACAGGTGATCATGGAGAATGTCATTTGAAATAGTACAGTGGATCTGTATCATGAAATTAGTAAAGAGGAGTTGACTTTTCACGTGAAACTGTATGTATAATTCAAGGTTTTCGTCTCTTAAGTGGAGAAATACTTAGGTTAGTTGTAAACAGTGCCCGTCATTAGGCCACATAATACAACGGCCTTTCAAACGAGGAGTTAACATTCTCAGCTTTGCGACTACCTTAGCCAACCACGTTGGATGGTACTAAGAAAGGTGGCATTGGGTTTGACGAATCGATCTGCCTTTGTTACTGCCTGCACAATAACAGTTTAAATTATGAACGCACTCTGAGGTGGCCGAAACACTAAGTGGGAAATTCACCACTCGTTTTACAACTCCACTGCAGGTGAAGGATAGGCCTCCACAATTCCACACAAGGTGCCAGTTTAGTTCTGTGTTTGTACATCTTTTACTACTATGCATTGCTAGGGCGGCTTCTATAAAATATTTTTAATTCAGTCTCTGTGTTCAGAAAAATTCTGTTCAATCCCTCTCCCTTACATGTCCATCAGCCTAACTTAAAATAGATATTGCGGTCTTATTATTATTATTATTATCATACATAAGAGAATTGACTTCAAGCTTTATTTTTCCCATATATCTGTATTACATTCATGTAATGTCTGGGTTTTTTGTTAATGCGAAGACAATATTTCTATATCTCTTTATGTGCTACACAAACAGACTTTATAGCAGACTGTTCCGACTGACTCTAATGTCAGAAAGAACAACCAAACTGTAAGTCCATTATACATCAAATTATGTGTAAATTATATAATAACTTATCCATGCCTGTACAATAGGTATGTTCCTGCATAAACAGGAAGGAATATATTATTATTATTATTAAAACAATATTTATGCATGCCTATACAATTGGTGTACCCCACATAGCTAGGGAAAAAAATGTACCTTATTATATTATCTTTACTAAATATGCTTATTAATATTATGTGTAAATTATCTAACTGATGATGCCTGTAAACTGGCGTCCCTCATGTAAAAAATGAGAATATATATTATTATTATTATCATTTTCGATTATATTTGACCCTAGGATCCATACTGTTTCGAATCTTAAGAGTAATATTTAGACCTTTGAGAGGATAAAAAGTCCACTGGACTTGACGCGTCCGCTAAAATTTTTCCTTTCAGTTGGAAGAAGCCATCGAGGATGGCACCCTAACTGTATATTAGAATTCGGTGGTAGCATTGATCACCTTAGTTGGTGCTTCCGACAGGGTAATAGGCTTAGTTCCACAACAACTAGCAAACAAAAAGCAACAGCCAGTCACGTTTTTCTCGAGGCGCGTACAACTGGCAGTAATTAAGTGTAGCACATTCGTCAAAGAACTTCTGGTTATGTACTGTGCTATACTCCACTTCCAGCATTAAGTGGATGGCGGTGAATTTATAATTTTCAGTGAATACAAGCCTCTGACGTACGTTTTAACTCAACTTCAGATAAACATTCACCTGGAGAATCACGACAAATGGACTACTTTTCACAGCTTGCATGGGATATTTGACATGTGTCCAGAGCGAAAAACACTGTTGCGGATGCCTTGTCGCACTCTTGTTCTCTCGCCCAAATAGGCGATATGGAGTTAGTACAGCTGGTTCGTCATCAAAGAGAAGATACCGAATTTGAACATGAGTTGACGAAAACAGTTCTGCAATTAGCCTAGGTAGAGACAATATTCTTTGAGACATTTTAACAAGTACTCCTCGCCCTATCGTGCCTACAGTTATCGCTGCAAAGTCTTCAGTACACTGTGTGGCTTATCCCACCCAGGTATTGGAACTATCGTCAAGTTGGTAATTAGTTGGTTCTGTTGGTTTGGTATCAATAAAGAAGTAAGGGAATCGGTCAATACGTGCTTAGCATGCCAGAAGTGCAAGGTTGTAAGACACACCTGAACCACTCTTGGCACCATCACAAGATTTTTACTTCTGGCCGGTTCCGTCCTCACGACACTACGACAGGGGAGTGGGCTTTAGCGGCAGATAGTTCCTCAGAAATATTGGCCTACAGTATTCATCGCTCAGCAGTGTATGCCGATCTTCACAGTTTAAGTTGACTTGTTTAGCTGAAGTCCCATGGTTGACCATCTACGCCATTTGGCACGCCATCGTGTTGCGTCCGCTCGTTCGTGAACGATCCATAACTAGGTAAGCACTCATTCTTACATTAAGACCTTAGTCCTGAAATATACTTCTTAATTTGTATGATTATTTGGTGATTTCATTTGACTTTAATCTTCGAGGAAAAGACCCAGACCTCGCGTTAGTGTGCATCGCACTTTCCATCAGCGTTAGCACACCCTGGGCCGGTGAACTCCACTGTGTCTGAACACACCTTGCTGGACCTCAGAATCGTTCGCATTATGATACTGTCGAATCTTAGCTATCCTACGGGGTCGGGGATGGTCGGGTACTCAGATTTGCCGCAAATCTTCAGTGCGAAGAGGCTAGGTATTAGAGGTATCAGAACAAGACTGCACACACCGAAGTATAGTCGACTTTCGACAGCCAGATAAGCGTTTCGAGTGCTCCACAAGTGGCTGAAACCTGCATATGTCACCTTAGCTTTCGTAGTACGATTAGAAATCTCAGCCGTCGAAACTGTGCCAGCATTCACACAACAACGCAGCTACAAGAAATTGTCGACAACTTCAAGAGATTCATTTTCAACAGTGAGTACAGGTACAGCCCCTAGCCAATCTCTTAACAGTACTTTGCACCTGGCATAAAGCACATACTGGTCGCCAGCTAAATAAGTGCTATCTAGGAAAGCTGCATGCTCTCTCTCTCTCAGTTATTGAATATGGTATGCATGCTTAATTCAGTATTTCCATATAGCCTAGCAGATGTAGCTGATGTTCAAATATACTTCTAGGAGGGTTTCCAGCTACCTTCGATTGTACCACCATCTGATAATTCGAAGAGGTAGAAGGAGTCTACCATTTTGCGTAAATCAAAACGTAGGGGAATCTGTTAATGCTTCACACCAAATCGCCAGAACGACATGGCAGAAAATTAAAGCGAATTCGGAGGAAAGCAATGTGTTCTACAGACGGTACCAGTCCTGCAAGCATTCACGCGACCGGAGGGAGTTAGCAACTTGATCAAAATTTCACGCTCGATTGTTAAATAAAGGACACCAAAATCCTTGATAGGGATGTCTGTCTGTTTTTCTAGCCTGCAACCACAAAACAATTGTTTCACTCCAATATCCAATATCGTTTTTACGAGCTAGTATAAACCATTTTGTTTTCTTTATGCTCGCTTCTTGATTGTAATGTATAGGTTCCTGATCTTCGGTAAACTTCCGCGTAGCTTGTCACGCCACTCGACTGGCCTAGCTTTGGTTGACTCCAAAGGGAGCAGTGCTGTGATTAATTATATGTGGTTTGTAGTATGAGGTATGTTAAGACTCTTACTACTGTGATTGGAGTTGACCCTTTCGCCAGTTAGTCCTTCGGTATCGTCGACAAGAGAAAAGAGATAGTAATAATAATAGATATAATTAGTGAAGTTATTCAGACTAAGAGACAGAAACGGAATAGGAAAGCGTAACAACAGTCAGCTCATTAAGTTTGCAGAATAATATATATATATATATCGGTAATAATGATAATAATAATAGTAATAATAATTATAATATTAATAAGTTGTCAGGAGAGTAAGACGGGAGAGAATGTAAAGAAGTAAAACGACGAGTTTAATTGTCTACCCCTGAATGGTGTATGCGATTTTAAGGGGATAGGACATTTGGATGCAGTACTTGTGTCACTGCATGGTTGTCCAGCCTTCGCTTAAAGGCGTCCACAGACGGTGCCATAGCTACATCTGCTGGTAAGGAATTCCAGGGACGGCAAACCCGCAGTGAAAAGAAGTGGGAGCGCACCCGGGTCCTTGCTCTCTGGTGAGCTATCCTTCTGAGATTTCCACGTGGAAGCATATACCTACTCAATAGGGGAACAACTTTGTTTGGGTGATTCTGGTCATTTGTTATTTTGTAGGCAGTAATCAAATCCCCCTCAGCCGACGGTAGCTAAGTGTGAACAAGCGTAATCTCTTCAGCCTTTCATCATATGGTTTGTTTTGGAGACCAACCACTCCTTTTGTTGCCCGTCGTTGGACTCTTTCCAAGAGGTTGGCGTCTCTTCTCAGCATTGGGGGTGCAATAATATTATGCACCTCAAGGTGTGGCCTGACGTATGTTTTGTACAACTTTAGAAAGAGCTCAGGAGTGAGTGCACATAACTGTCTATG